ATTATCCGACCATAATTTGTGGAGTTATGCCCCTTTATGGACTTGCCGAAACAGTGTCCGCTCGATATCTCGAGTAATTATTAACGGATTAACTTCAAACTTCACAACAAGATTAATTACCATGAAAGCTCGGACAAGGTCGATAACCGCCATTATCCGACCATAATTTGTGGAGTTATGCCCCTTTATGAACTTGCCATACACAAATAAAATGCTGGAAAAAGACTGAAAGGTTTGGTGGAGAGATATAGAAAACTGTGAAGTAGATATTTATAGAATTTATACAAGGACAGATCATTCCGTACAATATCTCATCACACTCAACATATGCTTTACACAAATTGGTCTCAAACTATGCTTTAACTCATTCACCCCTGAAGACACATTTGAACTCTTCCAATTCAAATGTTTGGACTAGTTCATTATGAAATTTCACGGGTGATTGAGTTTAAACCAATCTGTCTTGGTCTTTGCTTTTAAAGAAACCGATCTTAGTTACTTAGATGTTTCATAGAGACTGGTCACAGTTTAGAACAACATCTTTCTGCAAACCAATCACAGTACAAAAGATCAATAACAAATCAGGTTCATCTGTCTATAATTATCTTTACTGGACAGTAAAATGTAAAATCCTTGAGGCGGAGTCTGTTATCACGACTCATTATGACCTATCTATCTGCATAGTAGTTTTTCAATCTTACTTGTTCATAGCATCTCACAGCTAGAAAAATTTCGAATTATGCAAACTCTTACATATCAATATTATACATATCAACATATAATAAAGATTTATGGGCGGATTGGTCGAGTGGTTAACACTCCGGCCTTCCACACAGGACGGCCGGGGTTCGATCCCTAAGTCGTCATACGCATGAATATTCAGAGAAAGTGTTTTTCTCCTGCCCACACAACTCCAACAACCCAGGTGGAGTATAAATTGGTCTGGGGTGGATGTTGCAGTATCTGTGATGTGGTATTCAAGTGAGGTGGCACTATACATGATACCGTTGGAAGAACGGTCCCACTACAAACAGAACACATACATCTCCAGCACACACGCAGGCATATACACACAGGGATATACTAGCCAGGTGGCATATAACTAGTAGTTAATTCCTCAAAAATGTATATGCTAAATGTATTAATTGTATATCTTTGTACTGTAAAGCGCTTTAGAGTGGCTTATGTTAGCTAGATAGGGCGCTATATCAAATGTTGTATATTATTATTATTAATATTACTATTGTAACCTTGTAAAATAGTGTTGATGAAGATTAATATTAAAATATAAATACGATTTGTATCACTTGTCAACAGATTGTTATTTAGTGAGAGTCTTTATCACAATAAGTCAGTAAGACCGCTGGGTAAGGAGATGGTACTTGGATGATATTATTTGTATGAATCAATACCCTTTTCAGTGACGAAGTTTGCCTAGTTTTACAGCTGAATACAGGCTGCTTCCCCTTGCAAAAAGTGCTTCATTTTGCCAGAATGAAAATAAAATGAGGTCTTTCTCACTATTTGAATGAAAACATTTCTATATTTTACCAATTCATGCTGCTGTAAAATCTACATGTAGATAGAAAACACTGCTTTTAGTGCAAATAGCAATTGTTCTTCATAACCGATAAGACCATTTTGAACCAGATAACCATATATTTACCTGTTTTCAAAATACTCAAAATTAATTCAAATGTTGAATAAACCAAATTTCTGGTCACCATTTGTATTTCTGGGTTATTATTGATTTTCTGGGTTACCATTGATTTTCCATTGAGTTTCTTGGTTACCATTGATTTTCTTGGTTATCATTGATTTTCTGGGTTACCATTGGTACTTATAAAGTTTGGATTGTTTTTTTTCAGTTTCTAATATTGCTTTAAAACATGTTTTGAAATGATGAAAAGAAGTACAATAATTGACTTACCTTGCTAATCTACGGAAAGGCAACTGATTACAGGCTGATTGCTGGGTAAATCCAGGTTAATCCGATTGTCCATTCATGTCCAGGATCGTCCACTTATATGTTACACTGACCACTTTTTCCATAAAGAGCACACAATTAATGGTCCGAAATTCCATTCCCTGAAAAACTTGGTAACTTTTTGATTTTAGTCAATGTTTATATCACAAATTTCCCATTTATAATCTGACATAAACACATGGAATTTCAGTCCCTGATCAGTCACTTAACAGACATGGTGCCAGTGTATTAACTCTGTGGTAGTTTGTTAGGCTGTATACAACATACTACTAATATCAGTAGTCAAGTCGCGACCACTCGCGGACACAATGCATTAGTCGTCCTATACCATACTAATCTTAGTTAATCCAATACGTGGTGTGTTGTGAGCCAGCGTTTCCACACAAACATTTCACCTTAGTTTACTTTTGTTGAATGACTCTCTGATAACCATCAAAGCTATATTGATATCTGGTTTTCCTGCCCTAACTGTTGGGACCTTTAAAAATATTACTTCAATTCATTCCAGGCGTATGCTATTCATGTCAATTCTGTGGTATATTATGTATAGGCATTGCATGTGCTTCCGTTATGAAAATATGTTTTTTATTATTCAAAGCAATCTGGAGTTTTGAGTATAGGTGTCAATGTCATAGACAATTAAGTGTTAGGTGAAGGGGCTTTTAAAACAGGTTTGTAGAGATCTATCTATTGACCTGCCTGAGTGTCTCACAGTGGGGGACAGCTAAGGGATTTCTGGGGGAAAGTGGGGGACAGTCGGGGGACAGTCTGGGGACATTAGGGGACAGCGGCAGGATATCAGTTGTTTTCAAACAACGTAATATCTTAGACCAGCAACATTGAGAAAATGAATTATTTGGTTAAGGTAGACTTCAGAATTCAATGATTTCTAATTTTTATTTCCATCTTATTTTTCCATATCTGTGCAGTATTTTTTTAAACTTTACTTTTATTAGCACAGTGTTACAATTAAGGAAATACAGTAAAATGAACAATTTTGAATTCAAAATATGAGTTATTTCTGTGCCTGTCCACACTCAAATGATAATGATATATTTATAAATAATTACAGATAAGGATGAAATGATAATATGAAGTACTTTTGAAATGAATAAGGTGCTGAAAACCTTGAACTTGTGTACACCAAGTTTGTTTTGTACACAAACAGTATTTGACAATTTTTTGTGAGCTAGCTAAACCAAACTTAGCCTGTATAGATAATACCATACTGATGAATATCACTCAGAACATTAGTTTGTGTTTTAGACTCCAGATTATACATTATAAATTAATTATAGATATATTCTAATAACCTTTTGATACCTGTTCAAGATTACCAATATGAAGTACAGCACAGCTGGTTACACATATGTAGACCTACAAGAGAAAATGTTCACATTTAGACCTATACATATATATGACATTGTTAGTACAAAATATTTTTACGCTTACGGGACAAAATGTTTCACAACTTCTCGTTGCAAAATAAATAAATCATGACCATTTATATCACTTCTTTCATCCTATTGACTGTAACATTACGATATCGTTAGCTGCAAGTGTAGGATGTAGTATAAAGATAGTTCTTAGGAATATGCTCAAATTATTTGAAAGTGAAAGTAGAATTTACATACTGATCATTACGACGGCAAAATGAAAACTTCTCGAATTTTTCCAACATGCTGATATAAATAATAATGATAAAATGATTTCAATTATTAATTTATCTTTTTGTATTTATATTTTCCATGTTTCCACATCAATCTATGTCTAATTGATATAGGGCATCTCACTTCCGGTTCAGACAACATAATACGATTGAAAACAGCTTGATCAGTTATTATGATATATCGGTTATTATGATATTTTTTTCAGGCAAATAGGATATCATAATAAGCGGGTTCCACTGTACAGTAATAATTATAATCACAGCCACAAAATATTGCTTCTTCTTTCAACTATATTCATATCCACCATATATTGCTTCTTCTTTCAACTATATTCATTCCTACCACAATACCCTGTGTTATTCCACTCTCAGATCATTGTATAAACATGCAGACTGTTGAATAAATATGAGTTATACACCACACATGGTATATGACCTTCCGTAGTTTTGATTGGTCGAGAAGATGAACCTTGACCGGTCGAATTTTGCCGCGTGCTGTTTTGTTTACGTCGTCTGCTGTCAACATCCGGTAAATGTTGGTGACATTTGTGAGGTTATGTGATGGGAAAAGGGGTTATTAATGCAATACCAAAAGAAGATGATGCTTAAAGATTTGATCGCTGGTTTCAGGCAAAATTGCTACAGACGCTCAATATCGTTTCAACGCCATACCCTCTCGTGTCCAGGTCGTGAAACCCAGAAACGTAATATATGTCTCTGTGAAACCCAAACAAGATCTGTAACAGTGTCGGAAAATATTACGTTCTCCCCATGTCCAGTTATCAATATTTGGAGGGCATGTCTATAGCGGAACTCTCACTATAAGCATCAACCATAGAAACGTCCCAGGCCTATGGTTTGGACATTGACAGCGATTAGTTCGTCTTCATCACTTTGCGGGAAACAGACTCGTACGATATGCTTACGCGCATATAGTCCGTGGTTAATTCATATTAATTAATGCAATATTGCACACTCTCAATATTTAAAGTCATTCATCTATTTTATTTTTTCACAAAGTTGTTGCCAAAACATTAATTTTGAAAATGATTAAATTTGTAAAAAAAAAAAAAACATTTTTGAATATTAATGAGTGACTTTTACATATGGGTCATATCATTACGCCAGCCTTGTCAACAGAATATGTGTATGCTATTCAAATCAGGAAATACGTATACTCCAGCTGTTTCCGACTGAGATTGTGGTAGAAACAGATCACACAACCTGTGGTTGTTGATAATGGTATTTATTTCGCTCTCGTTAGTTAATTTTCAAAAGTTACAGAAAGACCCTCGCTAAAGCTCGTGTCTTTTGTAACTTTTGAAAATTAACTAACTCTAGTGAAATAAATACCATATTCAACAACCACTCGTTGTGTAACCTCTATATCCACCATATATTGGTTCTTCTTTCAACTATAATCATATCCACAAAATATTGATTCTTCTTTCAATTATATTCATATCCACCATATATTGGTTCTTCTTTCAGCTATAATCATATCCACAAAATATTGATTCTTCTTTCAAAAATGATTCCAATCTTATTCACAAATTTTCAAGATGATAGTCTTTTAATTGACATGAAAAAGCTGTATAAAAAGCAAGCTCAAAAACTGGTTCATATTTCGACAATTTTACAAGTAATTACTGAGTAAAACTAATCGTCTTCAAACAACATTATTGTCCAGACATTTAATCTGAAATGTTTTATTCTTCCTCGTGTAAATCGTGGGGACAGAAACCCTTCATTATGCCCCAGTCTTATCAATTTTCTTATTTGTATATGATCTAGTCCTGTTATTATACTACTGAATGACAGCCTATTATAACACGTATAGGTATGACGGTACGTTCTGACTGTCGTCTTAGGTATTTGGGACTTGTATATGTTTACTTTTGGCACACGTTAGCAGACGACAGAAGACACGAAGGCTGATTGCAAATGTTGTATGATTTGTGAGTCAGCTATAACTGTTAGCTTTCTACAATGTTCATCAGGGAGAACAAAATTGCTGCTGACTTTTACATGTCTGTAATTTCAATAATAACGTCCTATATATGACCAAATCCTATTGTGTAATGCACTAGTCTATTTCAGCTATTATACAATCAGTATCCCATTACTGTATACTCGGAAACTTTCACCGGTAAAATCTGTAATTGCCCAGTGATAATTTTGTCCCTCCATGTGAGTACTTGCTGTCATGAGGGCAAAAATAGGTGGAAGTTAAACTGCAGTGAAAATTTCCCAGCATACTGTATACTTTAAATTTGTGAGCAAGGTTTTGTAATTTGTCTAAAATAACAAAAAGGGGTACAGATGCCCGTGGTGTAAAGATGATCGAAGGAGGTGAAATCGTAAAGTTTTTAGAGGTAATTCAGTATTTTACACAGATGAACACACCAGTGTAGATAAGATAAATTTGGGCACACATTATTTTTGTTTTTCTTGTATAAAAATACTGTCGTTATTTTTGTAGTCCCAAATTTTGGTGGATTTGCCAAAATCATCAATTTTGCAGGATGTAATTTTTGCTGATTTCAGCTCAAATGGTAATGGCACATCATGTTGCAGTTAGAATTGATGACTGTTGTTATTTAGGCTTGTGTTTACTTTGAATAAGTTGTTGGAATATCTTAGTGTTTCCCTCCCCTATATTGTATGAATCATAATAGCCACTCCATTTCCTCCCCTTAACTGTCATAATAGCCTTTTCCATCCCTCCCCTTTACTGTCTTATTGGTCTTTCCCTTCCCTCCCCTTTACTGTTATAATAGCCTCTCCCATCCCTCCCCTTTACTGTCATAATATCCTCTCCCATCCCTCCCCTCTACTGTTATAATAGCCACTCCCTTCCCTCCCCTTTACTGTCATAATAGCCTTTCCCTTCCCTCCCCTTTACTGTCTTATTGGTCTTTCCCTTCCCTCCCCTTTACTGTCATAATAGCCTCTCCCATCCCTCCCATTTACTGTCATAATAGCCTCTCCCATCCCTGCCCTTTATTGTCATAATAGCCTCTCCCTTCCCTCCCCTCTACTGTCATAATATCCTCTCCCATCCCTCCCCTCTACTGTCATAATAGCCACTCCCTTCCATCCCCTTTACTGTCATAATAGCCTTTCCCTTCCCTCCCCTTTACTGTCTTATTGGTCTTTCCCTTCCCTCCCCTTTACTGTCATAATAGCCTCTCCCATCCCTCCCATTTACTGTCATAATAGCCTCTCCCATCCCTGCCCTTTATTGTCATAATAGCCTCTCCCTTCCCTCCCCTCTACTGTCATAATATCCTCTCCCATCCCTCCCCTCTACTGTCATAATAGCCACTCCCTTCCATCCCCTTTACTGTCATAATAGCCTTTCCCTTCCCTCCCCTTTACTGTCTTATTGGTCTTTCCCTTCCCTCCCCTTTACTGTCATAATAGCCTCTCCCATCCCTCCCCTTTACTGTCATAATAGCCTCTCCCATCCCT